GAGAAACCCAAGTGAACTTGACACTGGTATAGATAGCATGACCTTTTTTAATAACAAAAAGGATTTCAGCCTTCAATCAGCCTACAGCTGTCATGGCAAAAGTCCTAGCTTTCTCAGTAAGTAGTTACCCATTTGCCAGTATGGGCTCACTAGTGACTAGTATCTTGTGGTTTGCCATTGGTGTTCGGTGGGCAAAAGCAGGCTGTTCCATTTTTCCAGCCCAGGCAACTCAAGGTATTGTAAAAAGCCAAAAGACAGAACTTCTACATCCACCTATTTTCCAGTTTTTCCTTTACAGGCAGCTATCACAACCAAAGCAAAACAAGAAGGAGGCAGTATCAGCAGCGACCTTGGGAGAACTGTGTGAATCTGTAGAGAAAAAGGCTGGTTGTGTCAGGTTGAGTGTCAGTGTGCATGCATGGATGGACGGATGCAAAGACTGAGAATTTACATGAGAAGGAATGAAGCCTGCAGAATGAGAGCTGCAGTTTGACTATACTTTCACCAAAGTGCTTTAAAATTCCAAGTTCAAGGCATGCACAGACCATTTTAATAGTGCATCTGATGGGTATCCATTTTCCTTCTAGTTTTATAGGTATGCTTCAGGCTTTAGAGCATCATTTGGGTCACAGAATGGCCCGGGTTGGAAGGAACTTCAAGGATCATTAATCTCCCACACCCTGCCACATGCAGGGCCACCAACCTCCACATTTAATGCTAGACCAGGCTGCCCAGGGCCTTATCCAATCTGGCCTTGAATATGTCTAGGAACAGGGCACCCACAACCTCTCTGGGCAGCCTGCTCCAGTACCTCACCACTCTCTCTGGAAAGAACTTCCCCTGACATCCAACCTAAATCTTCCCTCCCTCAATTTCAAACCATTTCCCCTTGTCCTGCTGTTATCTACCCTTTCAAAGAGTTGATTCCCCTCCTGTTTGTAGGCTTCCTTTAGGTATTGAAATGCTGCAATGAGGTCACTCTGCTGCCTTCTTTTCTCCAGGCTGAACAAGCCCAGCTCCCTCAGCCTGTCTTCATAGGGAAGATGCTCCAGAGTCCCCTGATCATCTTTGTGGCCCTCCTCTGGACCCTCTCCAACAGCTCCCTGTATTACTTGCACTTTGCTGTGTTGAGCCTCATTAGGTTCACTCGGGCCCACCTTTCAAGCTTGCTGAGGTCCCTCTGAATGGCAGCCCTTCCTTCCACCATAACAACCACACCACTCAGCTTGGTGTTATCAGCAAACTTGCTGAGGGTGCACTCAATTCCGTCATCAATGTCATTGATACAGATGTTAAAGAGCACCAGTCCCAATACAGACCCCTGGGGGATGCTGCTCATTACTGGCCTTTATCTGGACATAGAACCATTGATGACCACCCTCTGTCTGTGGCCTTTCAACCAATTTCTTATCCATCAAATCCACATCCCTCCAATTTGGAGATAAGGGTGTGGTGGGGGACCATGTCAAAGGCCTTGCTCAAGTCCAGGTAAATGACATCGGTAAAGATCCTTCCGCAGGGTCAGTTTATGAAGAGACAGAATTCAGACAAAATTCTTGCCCATATTAAACCAAGGGGATAAGAGAAGGCAGTGGGGTGCAGAACAGTGTTATAAATTTACTTCAGCTATTTCTAAGGCTGCTCGGTAATATCTGCTGTTCATGAGAGCAAGGGGAACATATTAAAAATGGAGAGATGAAGATGGGGAAAATCAGGATGTAACAGGGGGAGGGAGGCAAAATTGGAGATGGTGTGAGAATAATTCAAATTTTCAACAGGAATTGAAATGGTATAAGTATGCTGGTAAGTATTCTGCAATTAGAAGAACAGAGAGTGACAAAAAGGAAAAGCTGCCGTAAATGGGCCAAAAATATGTAACAATTTCAGAATAACAGTATGGATGTCAACGGGACTTCTTCCCTCCCTTGCAGGGCACAATCTCAGCACCTCCTCCCACTGCCGTGCTTGAGAGATCAAAGAGAGCAGCTCATCCCTATCTGAAATGATAGAGAACTTCTAAAAAGCAAGTAAAGCAATGAAGTGTTTTACACACTTGGCAGTCTCACATTTTTTATAATGATCCCAAATACTTCTGGTGTTAAAAGAGTTGCTAGTTAGTTAATACCTGCGTAGAGCCTCTTAACTGCTCACAAATTATCTCCTCTTTCTGTTGTGTGAATGGTGCTGTTTCCCACGAATGCTGAAATGAAGTTTCACTCCATTTCTTTACTTTTCATCTTTAAAATGCTATATATTTACAACTCTTTTTTCTTAGCATACCATTATTTGTGTTCACTCACTTGAGTAAACTGATGTCATAGTATTGAAATATAGATTTAATAGCAAATAATCTTCAAAAATGTCTGATGGTGTTACGTAGTGCTTAATGACATTTTATAGCATAACATTTCTTTTATTTGTATCATAACTTGGCAATCCTCTGTGTTTGTTTAAACTTTTTTTTCTACAGCACAACTTCTGTTTTGATTATGAAATGGCTGTAAGGTTGCCTGACTTTCTATCTCAGAATACAAATAACTTTTCTCTTTTAATTTATAGCTTTCAGTACTTTGTCCACTTCAAACTTAAATCAAAGTAGACTGTTTCCTTGTCAGTAGGAAACTATCCCAGATCACTGCCATAACCTGCCAGTAATGCATACAGTGCATACTCTGGTCTTATGAATGGCGTTGAAGACACTGAGAATGAAGCGGTGGAGCCACCATCCTTGTATGTGTTCAGGAACCATGGAGATGTGGCACTGAAGGACACAGGTTGGGGTTAGACAAGATGATCTTAGTGCTCCTTTCCAACCTTATTAATGCTATGATCCTAAGTGAACGAATCCCATTTAACACAGCTTAACCCTTAAATTAAGCCCAAAAGAATCACACTTGACCTTTCATCCTGCTAGCCAGTTTAACAAGATCTCCCTATGAAAATTGGGTAAAGTTGCAGTGTGATAGCATGCTTAATTTTGAGCTGGGTGGAGAAGGAAGAGGATCATCTTTCTTAAAGAAACTGCATTGTATCAATACTGGTCTAGAAGACAGCAAACTCTAACAAATTCAGGACTCTCCTATCAGGATTTGTTCACCCACATCCTTCTTTTTGTAGATTTGAATCCAGAAGATAGACACCTTTAGGTTACTAAACTTAGGTTACTAAATTTTGACAAGGCAGAAAATGATTATGGATAAGTGTTACTTATGGCTAGTGACCACTTGCTAATTGACAGCTACACCTGCAAGCTGATGGGTATTTTAAAATGTAAGCATAGTAGAAATTGCACATAGGAAGTGATTAGTGAAAAACAAACAAAGGCCAACATACTCAGAGATATACTCCTCTTCCTCATGGAATCTCCATATTTCTGTTCAGCTAATAATTTCATTTATGAATTACAAAGCATTTATCTTGAATAGTACAGCTGTTTGGTGAATAGAATGATTCATCTCTACTTTCTAAGCAGGATAAAGAGATGTAAGTGTGTGTTGGGACAGAAACATGTCTGTCATCAAGTTGTTGCTTCCCAGATAACTACACATTAAAAGAAAAATTTGAAAAGACTGCTGCCAACAGAACTGACACAGATAGTGATGCTGTCTTAAGCAACTGTACTTCACTGACACTTACTACTTGCTTCTCTCCTTTCGAAAAAAAGTTGCATTGCACACAGAAGACATTAATCCTTTTGAAATCAGCGACAAAGACTCACTGCCCTGCATAAGTGGAAATTTAAAGTCCCAAGAGGGTTTCTTGAGTGAACTGCATAAGCATTTCTACACATTTCAAAAGATGTAAGAGAAGAAGTTTGGATGGAATGATTGAACAGAGGTATAAACCACCCTAGGAGATGAAGAATACCTAAGCTAATAAGGATTCCTATCAACATTATACATTATAATTGGAAAAAATGTAAAGATATCAAAATTCACAATACCTTGTTCTTAGATATTTTAACCCCAGAACTGTATTAAAAAATACTTGAAAGATCATATAGTTTGTAGAGACTATTCTAGTTGAATTCCAGTTACGTGCTCTACTTAATATATAGCTTATGAATTTCATTACCATGAAGCAAGTTGCCTGTCTCTCCTCCTTTCTGGTTCTTGTCTATTCTGCATGCGACTGCACTGTTGCTCTGTCTCTCCCTTGTGTTTCACTGGGAGAAAGGCAAAGACATAAGGAACCCCAGGGACATTAGAATGCTCCATAAACACAATTAGAGTGTTCAGCCTCTTCATTTAAAGCAAGTACCATATTGCTACCAACATCTGTTTCAGGCTGTACAGGGGCCCATAAACAAACCACACCCTTCTGAACCAGCAGAGTCCTGTAGCATCTGTTGACTGTGTTTGCATATTTAGCAGCTCAATGGCATCTCCTACATACTGTCAGTTACACTGCTGTGTGTATTCAGATGGCTTCCTTTGGGAGACAAATGTTATTTACCTGCAGCCTGAATTCTTAGAGGTGAGCCTGTATGGTATGAGCTGTTACTGTGCTGTGGGCTCTGTACATTCAGGGGGTGCAGTTCATTTGGGCTTACTAGTTAATAGCACAGTTACCTGCCCTGCATAAATGGTAATAATGCAAAGATCATCCAAAAACCACCACTGTAAGAGCTGTATCAGTACTCCTTCCACACAGGAAGATGAAACACACTGCAGTTCAATTGCTTTTTACACTTGAAATCCTTGTTTTTCTATTAAACGTTGTTTCCTAAGGAACAGTAAAGCACCTGCAGCCAACTACTCACTTGTGAAAAATTAACCACTGAAAATAGTGTCACATTCCTGTAGGGAACAGACTGATCAATAATCAGTGGACTGACCGATGGCTTCTAATGTGAAACTGAGAGGTGCATCAGTATTTTAGCATAGATAGAGCCATGTGTGTAATCCAGCTATTAGCTATACCCTCCAGATAAGTCACCAAACTACCTTTACAGCTGCAGAGAGAGGATCATTCTTTATCTCCTTTAGTAACAGCTTTACCTGTTGGACATCCTGCTGGAAAACGCAGAGCTGCAGCCTTTGGTGCAGCCGGACCTTTCGGTGCTGCCAGATGCTCTCCAGGCGCCGCTGGTGATGCAGGACCTCATGTACCACGTCCAGTACCTGGTGCACAGCTTTGGAATAGTTTGCAGTAGCAGTGAGGGATTCTGAATTCCCAGGGCTCAAGGGACGCTGTAGGACATCCAGCAAGGCTTTTCCATCCTGGCTCACCTGAGTGAAGAAACAAGTCTCCTTCACTGAGCTGATACTTCAATATTCAAGAGCTGAGAACGAACAACCTCGCTGATTCTTTTTCCCCATGTCTCTTCCTCATTTTACTCAAAAAAGAAGAAAGCCCTCATTACATCTCTATTTGACTTGTACTTGCACATGCAGCGCTGCCTTCGTTCCCTCATGGGCCTGCTGTGTCACTCAGCAACAGCACAGGTACCACTCTGCTGGGACTGCACAGACACAGCAATCCCAAATGATGCTATGTTCTGACACATGGGCACTGAGAATTCCTGACATGCACCAGCTGATGACAGGTGGCATTTGCAATAGGGGCGTATTTACATGAGGAGGTGGCATTTTAAGAAAACCACAGATGGCAGAGTCATTCATATTCCGTATGATAAGAGAGAGTCCTTTCATCGTAGGATTACTAAGTAGGAATATACCTTCTGAGGTGTGACATTCCGTTTCTGTATTTCATTCAGTGGCAGTGAAATGAGGATAGGATGATGACTCTACTGTTCCCCAGGAGCACTCAGAGGCATCTGTAGCCTCCAGTTTCAATGGGCTACAAAGCCTGGAGGCAAATGGAAAGTCCTGTGCACATGTGCAATCTTTTTTTGTGTATACTGAAAAACAGTTACAGATGCAAAGGCATTTTGGCATTAAAAAAATAGAATGCTAGATTTTTTTAATGCCAGCATATACTTACACAAGAAAAAAAAAAGCAAACAAACACCCTATCCTAACCAAAACATCTTAACAAGTGTATACTTGCATAGTTCTCTAAAAAACATCACCTTGAAATGTTTTTGAGCTATGGATTGCAAGCTTGAAATATTTTGTTCAGAAGAAACATTTAATGAAGACACTACTGGAATCCTTCTCTTTTCTCAGCCCACTCTCCTCCTTTCCCTCAGAAACGAACTGCAGAGAAATGATGAGATTTCCTGGAAACATGTTTTTATTTCTATGCAATCACAGCCACCAACCCTGCTAGAGAATGGTTTGAAGAATGCTTTCCATCCATTTTGAATGTTGATCATTAGCAAAGTTCAAGTCTGTCTCAAGGATTTGCAAGTCTCATTTATCTCTATATTATAGTTGCTCAGTCAAATGTAGCAAATACCCATGAATCCCAAATCTGAGTCTTTTGGCAAGCCATGCCACATCCCAGGCTGTTAGAGTAATAGATGTGCGGTGCAATTGCAGAGAAATGAAGAGAGCCTCTGAGAATTATACTGGCAGAACTGGGAGTCAATTCTCATCACATGAGGGGGGCTTAGGTGGTGACTATTAGGTGACTACTAGGTGGGATCCTTGGAGATTTTTTTTAAATATTGAGGATAATTTGGAATTAGATCAGGAAATAAATGGAGAGCCTGCAGGGAGAGGCTTTCCATTCCCAGATTTGGTTGCTGCCAAAAAGCAGCTGGAGCAATCTGCACAGGCTGAAGCCTGCTGGGGTCACAGAGGGAGCAGTCACAGCCACAGCAGTGCACAGTGGGAATATGGGGGGATTTTAGAAGGGAACACTGAGGCACAGGTGTTTCCTTGGCAACCCAGTGGAGGTGGCAATGGCTGTTAGGCAGGAAGCAGCAGCATCTAGGCAGGGAAGGAGGCATGGCAGGCTGCATCCCATTTTATCTATGAAAAGATAATTAGCAACAATCCAGTCACTGCGAATAGGGAACCAAAGCCATGCATACATGTGTGAGCAGCTTATTAGACCTGAAACTCATTCTTTCCATGGACTAACTTCCCTGTGTGAATTCACTATGGGCCTGATCCCACCATTTGGGTTTTCAGTTGGTCTGGATCTATCCCATCAAGTATTTGGCTCCTGTTGTCTGTCTGAAGAGCCTCAGAGATTACCAGTTAAGATTTTTCCCTGACAGGCAACCTCGCATTCATTGTCTGCACAGCCAGAGATAAATGCCAGATATCAAGTGCCCAAGTTGTTCTGCTAATAATCATTAACATATAGGAGAGGCAATTAGAAACATTCTCCTGCTCTGTAGCCTACAAGCTTGTCCTGTCACACTGAAGGCAATCTATAAACATATGTCAAGCAGCATGGTGGTAGACAACCAGTGAAGCTCAATATTTCCAAAGATTTCATACATATTCCAGGGCTTCATATCTTCTACGTTTTACAGAAAGGAAGGGAACAGCTTCACAAACGGAGGAGCTATCTCTGCTCTTCTAGCCATTTAGACCTTCCCCTTTGTTTTGTAAAAAATATATCACATCTCTTTTCACGTGAATATTCTGAATTTTTCAAGGACTGTGCAAGGTCACAAGCATAAAGAACCCAGTTCATTTGAATTTGCATCTGACAACACATTTTTAAGAGGTATAGCATAAGTCTTAAACTTAATGGACCTGCACCCAGCAGGACTTGCAGTCCCTGTGATCTCTAAGTAACAGTGTTGTACCTGTCAAAGGAAATCTGACCATATTCCTCCCCCCCCCCCTTATTTTTAATAGTACAGAAATGCTGCTCTTCAGCTACTGGTGGAGCAATATAAACAGCCTGGCTTGAGACATTTATGGAACCTCCTTTTGTGTCAGAGGAAGCTCCCAAATGCATATTGCTGACGTGTGCCTCTTCCCTTAAGCACAGTTCTACCCAAAGTAAAAGCAAGAGCATCACTCCATTTTCAGTAGGAAGGTCTGTTCTGCCAACAGCCTCACTTGGTGTTAGCAGCAAGTAGAAAGAATTGCTTGGCTGTGGTTTGCACATCAAGCCTATGATTTCTGCCTTCGATGTTTCTGAGCTTCACTCTTAATCAGTACAGGAAGGAGGCAAATAATTATGGCTACAACCATGGTAAAAAGGAAAAGGTTTTCCTAAGATTCTTTGGGCATCTCTTCTTACATTCCTGCAGGATATCTAAAATCCTTGTACTCTATAACAGGACAGAAAAGGCCTGTATATCCAGATTTATATGTTTATTCCAATGAATATCCATTCTATTACAAATATCTTACTATTACAGAAATAGAAAGAGATTTTCAATGACTCTGTAGGAAAAGAAAGTGAAAGCTACAATTTTCATCCCACCACAAAGATATCCTATGAAAGAAACACTAATTCTATAAGCAAGAGACATTGTCTAGATTTGAGAAATGAGCACATGGATAAGAGGTAGGGCTCTAAAGTCTAATCCAAGCTTTTCAGCTTTCTACGTAACCATGGGCAAAGGAAGGAACATTTCGGAAATAACAGACTGTAACCTTTCTGGCAGTTCTACAAAATGCCTAAAAACGTGCTTAGAGAAATAATGTAGAAATGTTTTAAACAGCTGTGTGTGTGTGACAATTTATAGCTTTCTGAAGAAGCATCAGCAAAAGCAATATGCATATTAAAGGACTCTTTTGTAATGTATTTTAAATAATTTTCATTTCACAAAAGCTAAGACTGAGGCTGCTAAACTAATGCTAGTTTAAAATTTATTTTTTAAGAGACATTTTCAAGTACAATTAGAGAACCTTACTTTCTGACTAGACACATGCATAAAAATTCTCAGTTCCAACCAGGAACAATAGGAACATTCTCCATTTGCTCAGGCACCTTCCTGCTCCTGAGAAGCCCAAGTATTGTATTAGAAATTGCACTTCATGATTGCAACCCAGAATTGCTTTTTCTCATGAATAACATCCAAATCATTCATGCTGTTTAGGAAACAAGGCATTACTGTTCACTATCACTTACATTCTTCATCTTTTCTATGTGGGGTCTGTCCCTAAGATCGTCCTGATGGTCCCCTGCAAGCAGACTCCAGGGAGTCCCCAGAATGGGAGTAGATAGTTCTGACTTCTTTGAAACAATTGCAGTAATGGAAAGCAAACCTATTTTTTTTTTTTCTCCCCAGAAAAGCTGACTTCCCAAACATAGTCAAGTATCTGTTTGCATTTAGCAGACACGTTCTCCTCTGAGAAGCACATACCTCTGTGTAGGCCTGTGTTACTTGTTCATACAGAGACTGATGATGATGGATGGCCAGCTCTAGGTCTTGCATTTCTGAGGGGAGGCCTCCTTCACTGCACATTTTACACCAGGCATCCACACCTGAAAGGAACTGAAACAATTACAGAAACAATGAGCAACAGCGACAGAGAACATCATCACAACAGCTTTAGAAAACTGAGTAGAATGCCACTTAGAAAAAATGCCACTGACAACTCTAGCCTGAACTGAGGAGAATGTAACAGTCAAAAAAACGTCCTTTTGAACGCACTGGAAAAGTATATTCCTGTTACCTCCTGAAGAGTATCTATCCAAAAGAACATTTTCTGTTTCTTTTGAATTAAAAACAAATGCTGCTTTAATCAGGCTCAGAAAACACCCATTCTAAGAGTCTTCGCATATAGAGCAGGGAGCCTGCAGTATTTGGGAGAAAAACATCAGTGTGAAGCACAGGAGGATCCAGCTGTATTTGCCATCATCTCAGTCGTCAAACATCCCTTGGTCACTCACCTGTACTTAACTCTAATTTGGCCAATAGAAAACTCCCTTTAAAATCAATACTGACATTCATTTCAGTGAAAAGCAGACAGTCTGTATTCATGCAGCTCCCAGCTCAGGGCCAGCTCAGTGGGATTGCTAATAGGATACCAAGGCTTTAACCTTCAGGTCATACATTTGGTCCTGGACCAGGTCAGCAGTGATCAGATACTATTACCATCTGATGGCTGTTAAGCAGCCAATTCAAAATGAGCTCCTGGTCTGATTCCAGTTCCTAGTTGGGCAGAGATCCACAAAAAGGGAGAAAAAAAGGCACTGCCATTGCAATTGATATGGTTTAGCACCTTGGTTGGAAGCCTTAACAGAGAGCCAGAAACCGAACAGGCTTGGGGAGTAGAGGAATAGAAAAAAAATTTCCACTCTTAAAGGCCTCCAAAGCAAGGCTGATGCTCTTTAGCAGAACAAACTGGGGAAGATCTCCCAGGTTCTGCCTACTCTGTAAAAGAGAGGTGGAATTTAGTCTCTAAGGTTCCTGTCCTTTTTCTTTAAGCAGGGTCTACTCTAATGACATAGTCACTACCATGCTCATATTTAGTCTGTACTAACTGCCTGATGCCACCTCATTATTACTCATTAAATATTTTCTCTTCCTCCATCTTTTTGATAACCCAGCCTGCCACACTTCAGGGCTACAAATAAAAAATGAACAGCTGATTATAAAACAGATGCAGTGCCCTGTAGGATGAGCTTGTAACACCACAACACTAAAACACAATCACAGCTTTACCAGCTCCTCAAGTGTTCACCTGTGGCTTCTTCGTAAAGCACTCCTCACAGAGTGAGGTGCTGTGAGATTCAAAGCAGAGAGTTTCAATTCCACTCAGGTATCAGCATCCTTTTTTATTAGCACTATTGTAAGTGTAATGCTATTCACTATGCTGTCGTATAAACAAGGCTACAAAGTGTTTGCATGGTAAATATAGAGATTCAGCAACAAAGATAATGCCCTAAACATTTGTGTCTACAAGGTACAAATCTAACAGCAAGAACTATGCTTCCTAGGAGACTGGAGGTCACCACGTCCTCTTGTGTTAATCTGACTTCTCATCTGTCACATCTCTACAAGCAAAATTCCTAAACAGTTCTCCATAAAGCTGAAGTTGCCTTATTTTTTTGCTGAGCTAGTGGAATTCACATCATTTCCTAGTCAGTTTTAGGAATATGGAGCTGAGGCCAATCCCTTCTGGGGTTGTTACATGAACCTCTCAGTTGACACAGTGAACAAAGGACCTCTACACCTTACAGATCAGTATTCCTGCTGCCAGAATCACACAGTTACAGCTCTTATCTGAATGGCTGAATTCTATCCATTTTTATACAAGCTCTTGCAGTCTTGTTACTCCTATGCTGCCATATCCCCAGAGCACGCTTTGCACAGTAGGTGGGAGACATCAAGAAGATTTTAAGCACCTAACTGCATCACTGCCTGGCTGTCTCACATCTACCTTTCTTCTGTATATCTATTGTACACAGGCAATGTCACATCAATAACTACATCAGCAATTCCACTCCTACCACGAGCAAGAGCAGCTGATGTCCTCTCTTTTAAGAAGCTGTAAGAAATGCAGCCTGTTGGTGTGTGGAGTTCATGCAGGGAGAGTAAGCTATGTTTTAAGGACTTCTGACAAGTATTACTTCATACCACCAGATTATCAATCTGGGTATATTGTAAAAAAGAGCAGCGATGTCAATATTTATTACTTGCAACTTATTCTGGCAGAGCCAAGCAACTTTATTCTGTTCAACTCTCCATGCTAGAAACATATTCATGTGACAAAATCATTGCTTGAGTTAAAAAAAGACACATTTAAAGTTACGACTGTGAGGTTGGAACAGGAGCAAGTACCAATATAATTGAAGTTAATTGCTTAAATTTCCAGTTAGCCCATAGACTGGAATAGCTCCTATTGGGAGCATAAAAGTTGAAATGACAGACTCCAATAGTTGCACATGTGTTTCAGGATCTGAAGAATGATTAAGAAAAATCTCTTCTAAAAATAAAATCTTTCCTTGTGCCTCTGATTTAATCAGAAAGTAACTTTAAGGTAACAGCCCACACTTACTACTGGCTCATAACCTATCCACCAATTCACAAATGATGCATTAGGCCCACCACTAATGGATTCTTAAACCACTTCTCACTAGCTCTGCTCCATGATTCCTATTCTGGATCACACAGAAGCTCTAGCATGCAGCTCTGACATTTTGTAGCCCATGTTCATTTATGTTTTTTTGCACAGTCCTTGCTTACTGCTTAGGTCTATGGATGAAAACTCCAGGTTAAGCAGGGTGGTTTCCCAGGTCCCAGAGAAATTAAAAACAGACTCTGGCCTGTCTTTGTCATCCTGAAGTGGATGCAGAAGAGCTGTAGGATGATGGAAAGAGTGCAATGAAACTATTCTTAGGCCTCAGTGGTTAAAATATCTACTGATACACACATATGTATAATTATATTTTGTTTTGTTGGGTGTTCTTTTCATTGTTCTTTTGTGTTTTTTTTTTTTTTGTTTGTTTTTTAAGGGGTACAGGGTATGAGACTAACTGCGTATTTCCTGATGTTGTTTCTGAAATTTCCTTTCCTTATATAATCCTAAAGTTATCCTTGCATCTTAAAGATGTCAACTGTCTTCTCCTTTGCTTCTTTCCCTCAGATTTTCTCTCTTTTTCACTTTCTTTGCTCAAACAGCAGAGCGCTCAGAGGGATCAAGGCAGAGATGAGCACAGTAGTCTCCTCGGCTAGGGAGGAAGGTAATACAAATGGCCACGGGTCATTTTCAGAGAATCACCATAAATATTTAGTGCACGCACTCAGCATGTACTCCTTTTAAATAGTAATTCTGCTTATCCACTTCTGAGGGTAGACTCTGACCCAGAATTAATTGATTTAGATCTCTCAGTTGATTGAAGATATTAATTTGTTCGTTCTGACAGGATCTGTAGAGTGAGCACCTTATTAATAATTCAGCAGACAATCAGAGACCACAGCCAAGAAAGGGAGGACACCTGGTATGTCTGCTTCCCCCACCTGGCAGTCAGTGGGCCAGAACCTCTTCTGGTGTAACTCAGCACAGTTCTCTCAAAAATCACTGAGATAAGGCATGTTATCCTATATTCCCTTGCAACTTAGAATAGCCTCAGGTATATCTAAATATGCACAAGCAGATTCTATTTTGCACTAGAATTTCATGCTAGCATGAGAGAAGAAGAAAAAAAAGATAGATTTGTAGCAGGGACATTTAAGGGACGTTTGGGCAGTTAACTAAGTACCCTGACTTGTACCTTCACCTGGACACAGCAAGTGTTTGGAATTTAGTTTACCAGCTTTTGATCAAGCACACATGCTGAAAGAATCTTGGCAGGAAGCTAATTTGGCAAGATTCATCTTTTCTTTCTTTCCTTTCTCTCCTTTTTTTTTTTTTTTCCCCTCCCCATTTTCTTTGTCTTCTTTGTCATTTTCTTGATAACAGCTAGGTACATTTAAAATATGTTTGCAAAACTTAAGGAAGATGCATGCATGCACTAAAACATACAGGCAGAGAAGGAGGAAAAGAAAGAAACAAACCAAGCTTTGGTACAGGAACTCATTCAGCCAAGTTCAATTCAACATGCCACATGTATCTGCTATGAGAGCCAGGAAAGCAATGTGATTCTGAGGCATGTGAAGACAGATGTGAGGTTCAATTCCCAGTACGGTTGACTCAGCCTTTCATCCTTCCAAGACAGACAAATTGAATTCTGTGCAGTGTGCTGTGTGGGGTCTTTAGGAAGAGACCTTGAAAAACAAGTTATTTCCTGCTCAGCTTGCATATTATGAGATCGGAGAACTTTTCATAAATCTCTGTCCCAAGCCAACAATTTCCTTGCGGGCTGTGGTGTGCCAAAGGCTGAAAGATTATAATCCTACTAGACTTGCTTCCTGTTGGCATCACAGGGAACTTCAATCAGTAGGAAGCACTGAATAAAGAGATGGTAGCAGCTTATCGCACTGGAGAAGGAAAGAATCTGCATAGCAGACTGGTATGAGGCACGCTGTGGGAAAACTGGTTGGATCCGCATTGAGACTTCCATTACCAACAGAACAAAGGGAGCAAAATCAAGATTTAATCTGCAGCAGGGGAAGCTATGGGTTTATCTACATCTTTGCTTCAGAGATTTAGACCTTAATTATTGTAAAATGAGGAAGCCCTGATTTTAATTATAAAACAAAAACCAAAAACACAAAAAACCACCACAACCCTTGGTGATGCCAAATAATAAGGGATCACTCTGGGAATGAATGCTCAATAGATCACAGGCTGGGTTATAAACCAAATCCCAAATGCCTCACTTCTTATACTATACGGAGGTCAAATGATTAAGTTATTAGAGAGCAAGTCATCGGATTATACTACTAGAGTAACTGAAGCAAGACCAACAATTCAGTCTTTGCTAATGGGCACAATGACTCCCACTTCTCTTTTTTTCCATCAGTCTGAGCCTGCAGCCTTCAGCACTTATCTCTCACTGACTTGTCTCTTATTGAAGGAAGGAGTGACTGCTGTTCAGAATTAGCAAATTCTCCTGTCTGCTTAATAATGAGAGACTTGCCTCCGTCAGGCAGCACAAACCTCAGTTCCTTTTACAGATGTGCCAAGGGAGGACTGTTTTTTTCAGACCCAGCCATTCAATTGCACAGAGAAGAAAAAAAAAAGTCAAAGCTGAAAGTGACATTAGTCTAGACTTTTTCAAGCTAAGGCTGAGGTAAAATATTCTCTTTGAACGCTGTCAAAGCGGAAGATGACAAAAACCCTCACCTCTAACTGACAGGCAGTTCAGTGCAGCTATTTGTTTTATTGTCTTTCATCCTACAAAATACCCTGGCAGCTCCTCATAAATTGCAAATAAGATTGACACTTCAGAAAAACATGGGATTGCTCATTGAAAAAAAAAACAAAAACAAGTACCAAATCAAAGAATAACTAATTCATTCATAAATCTTAACTATTCTCTCTCTGCATATAGACTGGATAGTTTTTTTCTTTTTATGAACATACAGCGACTGACAAAGATCAATACGAAGTCTGCACCTAAACTTTACAGTGCCCACTGTACAGAGGTGAAAGTACTTGGACCAGTCATCTTGTTAGGATATCAGACCCATCAGTGCCTGCACTTATGTGAGCACATACTTCATTAGGTGCCTGGTAGGGTGAGTAATTGCTCCATGTTATGGCCTGTTGTCAGTAAGAAGTAAAAAATAAATAAAAAACACATAATTCCTCAGTAAGAAACAAATAATAAAGAAAGTCTTTACTGTTTAAGCAAAACATTTCCATACATGTATTCTGACTGCTACAGTTGGAAAAGTAGTGTGGCAGAAAGGTGATACGAGAGTGAAATGGCAAAAGGGACAAATAGGAAAAGAATGCTCACCCAGCTCTGAAGATTTGGGCTCTCAGGGAAAAGTCCACAAGGAAGGGATCTCCAACCAGAGATCCTTATCCAGTGACAGTAAGCCCTTAAATGAGGTCTAAGAGAGGTGCAACCACGCTTGATCCCTTCGAGTCACACAGTTGAATTGCCGTCACCTGTGCTCCCAACACTGAGCTGGTCCTTTCCTCAGGTGTTCAATCAGTGGTTCAAGCTGTGATTCAACAGTTCCCATACACTGACCCATGAGGCACGATTTCTGGCTTAAAAGTAATCAGCCACTTGAAATGCAAGCAGTATCAAGCACAGCCACTTTGCAGCTTTAAAAAAAACTATTTGGAAAAAGCAAGTGCACAACAGCACTGAAAAAAACTCCCAAAGCCATGTTTTTAAATGGGAAATGAACACAATCAGCATGTGGATGAGAACTGAACCATCACTGATAGGTGGAGCTGTTTTTAAATCTGTTCACTGATTCTAAACCTGTCACAGTCATGAAATTATGAAACAATTCTGAGGCAACGGGTACTGCATTTCAGCAGTGGTGACACTGATGTGGAATACAAGCCATGTTATGGACAGCCACACACAACTGTCACACTATGAAATGAAGGGTGGCTTAATCAGCTCATCTGCATGACTTGGTGATTTATGAGCACAAGACTGCATACGAAGCTGAGTATCAGCTTCAATGCATTAGAAATGGCAACATTGAAAGATCGCACAATTTGTACCAGGAGGTTCACGCAGAAACAGAAAGAACACTGTATGCAAGTTTGTTAAAACTTATTGAACCAATACAAGGCTGAATGTGACAGTTTCCTGGATTCATCATTACCAGTGATGAGATGTGGTATCACCACTAGGAGCCAGAGTCAAAATGGCAGTCCACAGAGTGATGACGTGAATTCCCCATTGAACAGAAAATTCAAAGCACAGCCCTCAGCAGGGAAAGTGATATGCACTGTCTTTTGGGATGAGGGAGGAATGGTCCTTCAAGATTTCTTGGAATCCAGGACAATTCTGACAGCTACATTGTGACAATGACTAAGCTAAAGGCTCAAAATTCCAGGGTCAGGCCAGAGAAGATGACAAACTTTCTCTTGCAGCACAATATTGCCAGGACCCATATCATTTAAGAAGTTGTGGAACACACTGCCAATGTTGGCTGGACTGTCATACCACACACACCATGCAGTCCTGATTTGGCACCTTCTGACTTCCATCTGTTCAAATCAATGAAATATGGACTGCGTGAGTAACATTTTCCTAGCAATGACATTATTATAGCAGCTGCGAAAAAGTGGATCACCTCTGCTGGTGCAAATTTTTACAAGCATGGCATGCAGGCATGGCATCTTGTTCATTGCTGGTGAAAATGCATAGCTAATGGTAGTGACTAAGTTAAAATGCAATGGTTTGTTGCTGAGAATTTGTTCTATCAAATATCATTATTGTGCTCCTTGTATGTATTGTAGTTTCCACGGAAATAAATAGGAAGTATTACTTACAGAACAATCCACGTACATATAAATGCTGATACTTGTTTTCCCAACCATAATATTCCTGCCTTTATCCCCAACACTATAGAAAACTAGGCAACAGAAATAATGCAGCACATTATGGCATAAGTGCATTTCAGTTATCATTAGATTCTCTCTCATCACTAAGGCCTAGAAAATATTTCCTTATCCACTCAAGCAATGCATACTAATTTGGGGGGGGGGGGGGGCGGAGAGGAAAGAGGAATATGTTGCTTTTTGTTTTTGAAACACTGCTCCAATAAGAGCAGGTTTAACTGCAAATAAGCCAAAAGCCATCAGGTAGTAACTGCAGCATAACTGTTATGAAGTTGTCAGTAGATCACTTCCCTAGTCACAAAAGTAGCTCACCTGTTCAGCTTTCTGGTGAAAGACAGCAGACATGGCTAAGATGGTGCTGCGTTCATCCAGAGCTGCAGCAAAACTCTTCCACTCTTGATCCAGCTGTGTAGAAATTTGTTTAATTTGCTGGGAAGCGTAATGGCCTGCCTCAGACAGCCTGGATGCAACAGACATGATCCGATTGATGTTGACATAGGCGTTCTGAAAATTAGAAAGCACACAAATAAAGAGCAGGAAGAACCGTGACCACCCTCTGCCTTCATTACAAATTCCAAACACCACCAGTTGGAGCAAAGCAAAGCAGTTCAGTGAGAGTAATCAACCATTCTTTTAAATATTCACAGCTAGCAGGCATACTACCTTCCACACTAAAAATGCATCCCATGGGAATTATTTTGCATATCTATGCCATTATCTACCACTTAGTTATTTCTCCTCTTCTTCTGTTTGTTTGTTTCTCTATGTATTTAGGTAAAATCAATTGCCATTCATTAGCTATCTACTTATCTGTTAGGGTTTACACATTGCTTCTTCATATTTCTATTGAATTACTTCACATTTCTCAAAGCTAAGTACAGATATTTATAAAGGAAATATTTGCTTTCTATCCTTTGAGAACTCTGACAATCCTTTATAGACATGCAGTGTCAACAAACGGAAAAGTCTTAGAGAATTTAAAAGAGCCCATAAAGATATTCTATAGAAAAATGAGTTTCCATGGAAATGACTATCTTGCTCAAAATTTTCATTTGGCAGAACAATTTTAAAGAAATAAAGACTATTTTTTTCCCCGTAAGATTAGAAGAAAACTGATCAAAATTATTCTAAAGTTTTACATATACTTAAAAAATTATTGTGATTTGATTGCAGCTGGTGGTCAAACATCCAAACACCTCTAACTGCAACTTTAGAAAACATTTAAGCCTTTCTTTCGGAAAGTCTTCATGTCTGATCCTGAGCCGAGACAACTTCATAATATATCAGGTCAGTTACTGTGGTGAAAAACAGTATAGCAACAGTACAGATGCATAACTCTGGGTGAGTTGTACCAACAAAAGGCACAGGACTTTGTCATGTTTGAGGAGAAAGAAAAGTTGCAATGAATAAGTTTTGATTACATGTAAAAAATGTAGGTTTC